ACTAATTTAAACAACCGTCATTTGCTTTTAAAATAGCATTTTTAACATAATAATGTGTAGGGATGGCTGATGTGAAACTGACGTTTGACACAGTATTGAGATCCCGAAGCATTTCGAAACACTGCACCGAAGTATGATCTGGAACACCCAGGTCACGTGACCAAATGGATTTGAAACACCTGGTCACATGACTACAGTGATTCAAAGCGTCGATCATTTCAGAAGCGTTTCGAAGCCTGGCAAATCTGCATTTGACTGACAGGGTCAGATAAGGCTTCTGTCTCATATAGCCGCGTTCATGTTGTTGCTGTGCTTCCAATGTCTTTTGGGTTCAAATCCTGACTTGTACAAACACTCCCAAGTGATGATTTTATGTATTTTGATAATGTAACTGCTTTATTGTGTAGTCTAGATAGGATACAGCTGCGGATACGCCATCAATACAGCATCATTTTTGTAACACTGTAAATCCCCTGGATCAGGATAAGGGGAGACAAGCAAACTGATCTCAGGTCAGCCAGAAAGCATGGCAGAAGCGGTGACCGTGGGCTCTTCTTGAAGATTGGACTGAGTCATTTCATTATTTGTTTTCGCTTGGCACTGAATAGTGAAGTGAGCTGAATAGCGATTGTTCATATGATTTGTGTTTATAGCTTCATGATTTTATTATCCATAACTGGCCTGTGACATTATATGGCACAAAATAATTAAAGATTGTGCTCTTTCTCTGTGTGTGGTATCTCCGCATAGTGAAGTCATGTTTCAGGAAAACTGATATACCTTGATGGACATCACTTATGCTAACTTTTATTTCCTGTTTTAATTCTGAGAATTGTTCATTTTCAATATAAGCACTGGCATCCTACATACACTGCTCATGTCTACTGTTGAACTGTGATCAAAAGTACAAGCACACTGAGACCAATTACTCAATGCACAAACACCATTAAACACGATACAGTTCACAGCGACGGTGAGAAAACAGTCACCTCCACATTTGATTAAAGAATTGATCTGTATAATTCAGACATGACAAACAGCTGAAAACAATAATAAATACACAGCAACAGTCCAATAACTGCAGAGAATATTAGAAACACAGCCAGCAGCAGCAGCACACTCTAATCTGCATAACACCGCCCACCATCAGCTATTGGGTGGACTAGAGTGATGTCACGTATTACCACACAGACTCCACACATCTCTCCAGATTACTCATATGAGCCTGGAAAAGTGTCTTAAAGTCTTCAGTAATGTTACGTCACGAGTGTTGTTGCTGTTTTTAATCTGTCTTAACTGAATTTTTTTTCATGAAATGGTGTCAAGTGTGTCAGTGGAGCGGTGAGAGCTCCAGACTAGCATGCAGAGATAATAGGTTCGAACAGGGGGATGCAGCTGTAGATGTTAGTGTTTAGATGCTCTGTTCTTGTAACATGTTTTGTTTTAATCTTGGTCTGAAATCCGAATGAACACTTTGTGAATAAATATGTCTTGTTTGTGGCTGGAAGTGAAGATGAGAATTGTTTATATTTTAAAAAATGTATTGTATTTTAATAATGTTTACCTCAACACTAAACCCAACCATCACAGTACTGTGAAAGTATTAATTATAGTTATAAAGTGTTACAAAAATCAACACTTCGGCATAAAGCAGTAACATTATTAAAATAGTAAAATCCTCATTTCTGAGTGTTTTATTGAGTCTGGATTTGAACCCAAAAGACATTCGCAGCACAGTAACATTGTGCACACACACAGTCCACTAGGCGATATGAGACAGAGCTTCATTCAGACCGTGTCAATCTAACACAGATTCTGCTGGTTTGGAAAAGCTTCTGAAATGACTGATGCTTTGATTCACTTTAGTCACGTGACCTGTGTGTTTCCAAACATGCTTCAGTGCAGTATTTCCAAACACTGGTGCTTCAGGATCTCGACACCATGTCGAAACGTCAGTTTCACATCAGTTCACCAACCCTAGCTGAAAGTGAAGCTGTGTTCTGTTCTGCTGTGCATAATGCATGATTCAGTGGTGCACTATTAGGACCTGTTTTAATAAATGCAGCGATGCCCTGATCACAGAAGTACTTGTGTGATATGTGAAGGGAAATAGGCCACATTCAGCACTTTTAAGTAAATAATCTATTAACTATCTGTCCCACTAATTCACCCTGCTGAAACACACAGGTTTCCCCCTCATTAGAC